GAGCAGCCAGGAGGGCCTTGCAGGAGGTGCTGGGCACCTTGGCTTTGCTGCGGCAGGGACACTGGCACCAGATGATGAGGCCCCAGGAAAGCGGCACATGAAGCATGTCAGCTCTCAGGCTGGGACCGCACTGGAGCCGTGCTCAGATGCAGCGGTGCAAGGGGACAGGCCAAGCGCTCTGCAGGGCAGCGGGCAGACCGTGCCCGTCCTGCTGGGCACGGAGAGTGCATCAAGCACCAGCACTGCCGCTGCTTTAGGTGCTACCGCCCCACTTGCCAGCACGGCGGGAGCGGCACGGCGGGAGCTCCGCAAGGAGCATCCCCGGCAGCCCAGAGCCAGGGGCTGCTCACAGGGACCTCCCCAGGGGAAGGGGAGACAGCGGCTCCCAGCTCTGCCTGGCCAAGTTCCCCGTTTGGAGCCCCATGGCCAGTGCAGAAGGTGCAGCTCCATGGGGCGGTCAGAGCAGTAAGCGGGGGAGCAGGGCAGTATTACACCCTGGTCCCAAACTGCACGGGGATTTGCTCTGTGGCCTTATCTCCCATGCATAATTTCCCCATGTATAACAGGGAGCACTGCTTGGCCTGCAGGGTGCTTCACAGATGAGTTAGCCATTATACAAATGCTCAGCGTGAGCATCCTTGTGCTCTGCTTGCGCTGGGAGCCAGAGGCTGCAGGCAAGATCCGAGCCCCCCGGTACGAGGCCATTTAGGACCCTCCTCTTGGCAGGAAGAGCCTTGGCATCCTGCCACCCTGAGGAGACACCGGGGCTACAGCTGCCATCACCTTAGCGGGAAGGCAGCACCGTGGCACAGCGTGGCACGGGGCGGCACAGAATAGCACGGGGTGGCACGGAATAGTACGGGGTGGCATGGAATAGCACAGAGTGGCACAGCGCAGCATGGAATAGCATGGGGTGGCACGGAATAGCACGGCGCGGCACGGAATAGCATGGAGCAGCACGGAATAGCACGGCACGGAATAGCACAGTGTGGCACGACACAGCACAGAACAGCATGGCACAGCATGGAATAGCACAGAGCAGCACGGAATAGCACGGTGCGGCATGGAATAGCACAGTAGCATGGCGCGGCACAGCGCAGCATAGAATAGCACAGAGCGGCATGGAATAGCACAGCACGGCACGGAGTAGCACGGCACGGAATAGCATGGCGTGGCACAGCACAGAATAGCACGCTGAGGCACAGCGCAACACGGAATAGCATGGCGCAGCACAGAGCGGCACGGAATAGCACAGTGCAGCATGGAATAGCACGGAGCGGCACAGCACAGTGCGGCACAGGATAGCATGGTGCGGCACAGCATAGGGCAGCATGGAATAGCACGGCGTGGCACAGCACGGCCTGGCACAGCACGGCACGGCGCACCCCCTGTTCCAGGCCCTGCCCCCTGGCACTGCCGCAGGGAGCAGCCCGCGCGGAGGCAGCCGCTCGGCCGGGCCAGGCCGCGCTGCAGCAGCGGGCGCTGCAGGAGAGGCTCCCCCGCGCGTGTCCATCCTGCCGCTCTCCCTCACAGCACAGCTGGAGCGGACCCGCTCCTGCACAAGGGTCAGGCACAACACAAAGGTGCTCGCCAAGCAAACCAGATCGTACTGAGCGTGAACTGCTCTTGTCAACTTCACTTCCTGTCACTTCTCAGTCATAAGGTGACATAACATTTTTTTTTCATTTCTAATCAGATAAAAATACAACATGTAAGTCTTAATCCTGGAATGGAAATAGGGGAGAGAACATAACCAAAACCTTTGCTGCCAGCGTGGCTTGTGCCGAGCACTGCATGAGAAGTGCCTGCGCGCGAGACGAAGGTGTTTCCAAGAGCACTCATTAAGACGTTTGCACTCAGTCAGCCAAGCACAAATCACCATATGACAGACTACAAAGAAATGCCGAAGTAAATGGGAAGCTGAGATGAAACAGGATACAGTAATTGTTTTTTGCATTATCCTGGAGATGTTTGTCAATGTTTCCATTTAGCCAAAGAGCCACCATTTTAAAAAATAAACTTTTTGCTTGCAACAAAAATCATATTGTGCAGGGGGGGGGAAGTTTCGAAGCACCCACATTCCCCGTTCCTCTGGTTTCTCCTGCAAACAGTCCGCTAAAAAAGAGAAGGGAGGAATGTGGTATGTGCCGAATACCAGATGAGGCATTAGCCATAAACGCAGCAGATAGAGCCGCCTCATTTAGATGTGGAGTGGTTTCCTCTCGCTCGAGATGCCTGCAGTGCTCGTGTGTTGTAAAAACGCAATTGAGATATGGTAGAGGTTGTAAGGAAAGTATATCTTGGATCTTCCCTGCATTACTTATTGCTCCCATTAGGCAACATGTTGGTATGAGCGGAGACAGCAGCTAGACGGGAATTCCGCTGAGAAAGCGGGACCCACCCCAGAGCAGTGGCACTGAAAGATCCGCAAAATCCCCCTAGCCCCTTCCCACCCCATTTCCAGCCCCTGATCCAGCCCCCCTGCATCTTCCAGCCGGGAGACCCTTCCTGCGGGCAGAGCCCTGCGGAGCAGGACTGACGGAGGCTGCCATGCCACAGAGCAGGCGGCAGCAGCGACGGCGGCAGCAGCAGCAGCCTCTACAGGGTGGCGAGTGCCTCGTGTGCTAAATCCTCACGGATCTGAACGTGCCCAGTGGTCCCGTCTGCACATCAGGGCTCTTGGTAGAGTAACAGCCACAGCAGGAGTCTACAGTTGCACTGTCATTTACGCTCTGAATACTGTTGGAAAAGTCAGCAAGGGTGTAAGGAGCTGCCACAGAAAGAAAACAGTGTGAACATCCACACACATCCCTGTGCCACATGGGCCGGGAGCATCCCTGAGGGAACAGAGTAGTCCTGGCCTTTGGAGGTGGCACAGCCTGCTTGTCGACTGGGACCTGGCCGTGCCCTGCCCCACTCCGTGAGCGGGTCTGTGCAGGACCCGGCGCAGCGGCCAGGATCCCCCAGGAGCCGCAGGAGTCACTGCTCCAAGCCCGGGGTGGCAGCGCCGCTCGCGCTAGCGAACCTCAGGTTTCCTTGTCCTCCTGACTCGCGTGGCCGCTCGTGCTTAGTCAAGCACTGCAGGACTGCAGCTTTCCCAGCAGCCTCTCCCTTTCCAAGAAACGGGCTCGGGTGGTGCAGAGAGCCGAGACACGGCCGGCCCTCGCGTGTGCTCCACACAGCCCGACCCGCAGGGCCGGGCTGGCCGCCCAGGAGGGAGCTGCGTCCCTGCGCGGTCGGAGCCCCGCAGCACGCAGGTCATGGTGCTGCCAGGGTTAGTGCTGTTTGCCCCTTTCTGCAGCCAGTTGCTGGGGCGAGCTCAACAAGCAGGCGCCTCGCGGCACTGCCCCTCAGAGCAGCGGGGACTGCTCACAAGGCGCCCTAGAAAAGCCTGGGGTTTGATGTGGGCAAACGCGCCACGCTGCTTGCAGAAGCGTGGTCAACGTTTGCTTTAACATTGGAACGGAAAACATTTCTGGCGCCCAGGCTCTCATTAGATTTCCCAAGCGCGCTCACCAAAGCGCCGCAGCGCCGAGTCCCGTCCGCGCGCTGAGGCACTGCTGCCTCCACAAGTCAGGACTTGACTCCAGGAGTTGTCTATGTTTCAGTTTAAATCAGCTTGCAGTGCCGAAAGGAGCTAAACAGGTTGAGTGACTTCACGCTGTGGGAGGAATAATCCGCCGGGTCGCTCCGTGAGCCAGCACAGCCCAACGGGGTGAGGATGTTGCTACAGCTCTTCCCTGGTGTCTCTCCCAGGTAAAAAAGGATAATATTGGTGCTTAAGTGACTTTTTATAGAACTGCTGTCAAACCTGGCAGATAGAAAGCTTAATTAGGACTGATCTCAAAAACGAGGCGGTGTGTAGGTGTAGGAGGGACTGTGTGCAGCAACGCCGCTTCCAAGCGGAGCTGCGAGTAAACAGGTCAGATGCGATGTTTATCGGAGCCGCTTGTGTCGGCGCTGCTGCGTCTCCCTGCGCTGCCAGTTGCACTCTGCAGAGCAGTGCGTTGCAGCAAACTGCTCGCAGCAGGGGCAGGGACGGGAGCCGTCCCGCCACCCTGCCCGGCGGAGGCGCCGCGCTCAGCGCTACAGTTACTCTTCTGCCCGGTGAGCAGAACCTGGGTCTCCTCTGCATCTGGCACGAGCCCAAACACAGCTCCTGCTTGTACTGAATCACGAGTGACTCACTTCAAATGTGGATGTGAGCGCAACGTATACATTTGCAAATTGGCTCGTGAGGCACCGCTTCGCAATGTAGGTGGGATATCTCGCATACTGTAGCAGTCAAGTTCTGCTCTCTTTCTCCTCCTCCCTTCTCCCTCGTGCAGGATGGCTGCCTGAGCCCGGCGTTCTGGAGTCATTTCCGAGGGCGCAGAGAGGACCACGCGGATGGCTCCGGCTCTGCTGTGACGGGGAGGATGGACGACTTGGCGCTGCTGGAGCTGCTGGAGTGCCCCGTGTGCTTTGAGAAGCTCGACGGCAGCGCCAAGGTGCTGCCATGCCAGCACACCTTCTGCAAGCCCTGTCTGCAGAGGATCCTCAAGTGCCAGAAGGAGCTCCGGTGCCCCGAGTGCCGCACGCTGGTGCTCTGCAGCATTGAGCAGCTGCCATCCAACCTGCTGCTCATCCGCCTGCTGGACGGCACCCGCTGCGCGCAGAATGGCACCAGGTTCGGCTCCATGCAGCGGGCCGGCCTCCTGGCCTCCCCGGCCTCCATCCGCAGAGTCCCCAGAGGGCTACAGCTCCACCAGTACCGGCTGGCACCAAGTCCCAGGATGCACATGGAAGGGGTAAGCAGAGCCCACATTTGTCACTATTTCTATAAATACAAGGGGCTATTTTATTGTGTGCCAAGACCTATGAAACTTCCATGTTACTGATACTGCCAAAAGGTTTTAGGTGAGAGATCGTTTGTCTGTGTGCAAATCTGGCCGTTATTTCCCTGTGATATTTAACTATTTTGAGTTTGGTACAACAGTAAGTGCATTCACTCCCAAGCTTACTCCAAAACTTGTCCTTCTTTCGGCAACTCGGCAGCAGCTGCTCTGCCCCAGAGCTCACAGGTGCTTCATGGCTTTTGGAGGAGGCATCTCAGCTGCTCCAAGTTCCAGACAACATTGATGTTTATTGATAGCAATTAAGTCAGTAAGTGCAAAGCCTTAACTGCTGGGAGTGGAGAAGGATATTTCACTTCTCTGAGCCTCAGTTTCCCCATCCATTAAAATGTTGGAGAGGATATAATGGCACTTAAGTCCTTGGCAAAGCAATCTGAGATTAACTAGCAACAAATTTGGAGCAAGTTACTTGTTATTTTATCTAGGGACTGATTTGCTAGGTTAATTTTAAAGTTCTAAATCGTTTTTGTCATTTTCTCTGAGAGTACTCAAGGTTTTCTTGAATAATTAAGCCATGTCATTAGACCTGTTAAAGCAGTTTGGTTCAGACTGAGTCTGGGTGAGATTGCCTGGTGGTTTCCTTTTCCCTGCATAATGTTCCCGGGATTCCACTTCTTCCACCTGCAGTATTCCTTATAGAAGTTTCCACAGAGCTGTTTACAATATTCCAATGCGTAATTCAAGTGGTTGCTAAAGGCCCGCGTGTCTTCCAGAACGGCGGAGCCGCAGCCAACATCTGTGTGCATGAGGCGAGCGCTGGCCGGGCCCCGCGCAGGGGGACATGCGGTGACGCGGCAGCCGCGCGAGCGCCCGGGCCAGACCCGCGCTGTGAAGGGTCACCGCGGTGTTGCTCGCGGAACAAACCCACGTGGAGGGCGGTGTGGGGCGTCACAGGACAGCACGGGGTGGTGCAGGATACCGCAGGGCAGTGCAGGGCAGCCCAGGACAGCACGGGACAGTGCGGGACAGCACAGGACAGCAGCATAGGATGGCGCGGGGCAGTGCAGGACAGCGCGGGGCACAGCTGTGGCCGCCCCTTAGCACGGGCAGCAGTGGGGAGGGCAGAGCAGCAGCCCTGCCCGCGCAGGGATCCCTGCCCAGGCCCGGCTCCACAGGGCCATGGTTGTTCCGTATTACCTGTGATATATGATATGGGCTGCATGAACTGAGTGCTGGAACATGCCCCTCCAGCATTTTACGGGAGATGGTGCATGCTGTAAGATAATACCGGCTATAAAATAAGGCATGGGCTGTGGCAGTCAGGAATTTCACAATGTCTTAAAAACAGAGGGAGTATTTGTATATATGTTAAAGAACATTGGGAGTTACAGCCCAACCCAAATATTTCTTATCTGCTAGCATTTAAACACTTTTGAATGTAATTCCTACCTATTAACATAGAATGGATACATTCTGGTGCGTGTATATGAACACAGCCGTGTATATCCAGGACACACACATACATATTGTGGGATATACACACCTGCCCATGGACAAAGCAGCATCTGAAAGAGGCTGTGTAAGAGGCTGCACCAAGGCCAGTGGGCTCTGCCCCGCAAGCTGCTCCGGAGAAGCCTAGCTGGGTTTCCAGATCTGTAACATCTTTGCAGAGCACTCAAGACTGGATTTTTTAAGATCTCCACATAACAAAGTGTCTGGAATCCAAGAATAAAGGGTTTGCTAGGAGGTGAATGTGTAAATAATCCACAGGGAATCCTTTGATCTCCTAAGAGCCTCCCCCAGCATGTGCAAGATGTGGTTACGTCCTGCATTAAACATCCCTGTGAGCTGGCAGCCTCCCACAGGCGGCCAGGCTCTCCCGGTGAGGTACAGAGCAGGACTGGACCCTCGGCAGCGACCCGCCAAGCCCAGGAACACCATCGGCACGGCGGATCTCATAACGCAGCGAACACAGGGGCCAAGGGAGCCAGAGCAGAACGCAGAGCATGAAAGTTTGCCCCTAGAAAGCACAGGACATTCAAATTGAACTGGGACTTAGGCTATTTTCTCTTTGCATGAACCAAGTGCTGTAACAACCCCCCTCTAGCATTTTGTGAGAGATAGACAGATACCTCCTCTATTGGGATAAAAATACGCTGCACTCCAACGTTGCCACCTTCACACAGACATCTATAAATAGTGACTGTGCCTTGGTATTTTCTTCTCCTCCAGAAACATCTTCAGCTCCTCTTTCAGTTTGGCAAACAGGATTTAGGCTGCTAGATCTTTTTGAACCCTTATTCAAAGGGACCTGCCTGCTTGCACCTAGCAGGAGCAAACCCATTTTCAGACCTGCTCGCTGTGTGACATCCCTCCCAAAAGCAAACCCTTCCTAAGCTGTGCAGCTCACAGGGCTGAAACGCTGTGCAGCCCTATTGGGCAGGGGCTGCACAAGTGCTGAGCAAACACTGCAAACAGGGGGTTCCCCCAGACCCTTGGAGCCCCGGTCTAGGGCAGCGCTGGCTGCTTTCCCACCGGGAAGGCTCCCGAGCCACAAGGGCAGTGACGCAGGAACCAGGCTGCTGCAGCACAGCCACTGCCCTGCCGCCAGCTATGACGGCCTCTGGCTTTGCCTAAAAAATGTGTGGCCTTGAGAACCTCAAGAAAAAAGGATTTACCCCATTTTTTCTCCACAACTATCAGAATTTGTCTCATTCTAAAAAAAAAAAAGTTAAGCTCTTAGACTAGTTGACTCCCACAGCCAGCTCGCACCTTCTATAGATTTATCATACAGTTTCTTTTTCCCCTTGGCACACAGTTTAGAACCTTGTACCTGCCGCAAGGAGACGGCCATTCCTGCCAGCGTCGGGTGCCTCCCACCTGGCCCCGCAGGGGACGTGGCGGGGTCGGGAGCTCGGAAGGGGCGCTGTGAATGCAGCGGAGCCACGCGCCCTGCGGCAAGGTCACAGCCTCAGAGCCAGGAAGGAGGCTGGTGGCAGCACTCTGTAGAAACGCTGTAAAGTAAAACAGAGCTTGATTAGGAAGGAAGATGTGACACTGAATTTTTCTCGCGAGGCGGCTCTGCCATTGCCCCGGCAGGCGAGCAGGCGGCGTGGGGCCGTGGCGCTCGGGGCTGGCCGGGGCAGTGGCCCTGCCGTGGGGCAGCTCTGCCTGCTGCCTGCTGGCACATGTGCCCCGTGCTGCTGCGGGGCAAACGCGGCTCCCAGCTAGCGGCCCTGGCATGAGCCGGGGAATGGAGACATCCCCCTGCCCTCATTACGGGGGGCTCCCCAGCTCGCAGGGCCCTTTACCCGCCTCCTGCTGCGGTGCCGCTCTCAGCTCTTCCCTACAAGCGCACAGCGAGGGCTGCTGCTCCTCACGGCCATGCCCTGTCCACTTAACGCTGCCCATGGGCTCCCTCATGGACTCTGGGTGCCCCTGACACGGCTCTACAGGCCAGGGCAGCAGGATTCCTGCCCATGTGCATTCGGAATGCACATGGGAAAGGGCTGCTCCAAGGCGATACTGCGTGTGCTAGGAAAAAGCAGGATGACCTCCACTGTGGATATCAGGAGCCAGTTTCCCTAGTTTTACAAAATTAGGTACTGAACTTCAGACACATAAAAGTGTTTTAATTTGTTTCCAAGGCAATGAGTCATCCTCAGCTGGCACGTCAGGAATAGCACGGCAGGATTTGGGCAGCGCAGCATGCTCACCCCTTACCAGCACGGCCAGCGGGGAGGCTCCAGGTCTGCGGCTCTGCCAGACCAGCCCCGGGAGCAGCCGTCGGCTCAAGGGCCACCCAGCTCCAGCTGCTGGGGCTGATGCAGTAACTTTGGTCCTTGCGGGGAGGAGACAGCAGCAGGGTCGCACAGCGACCATGCTCACAGCGCAGAGGGAAGCAGGGGTGGATCTCGGCAAGAGCAGCATGGACCCGGGCCTTCGATTCACACTCTGCTCCAGCTCCTCTGTGGTCTCGCACTAGTAAAACTGAAGTGCTTGCTCCTAAATGCTGGACTTTAGTGTGCCATTATTTTCAGGTAGTCAAACCCCAGTTGGCAAAGTGGATATTTGAGCTGACCCTTTCATTGGATTTGGGGAAGCTCCAGTTTGTTTTGGTGCCAGGATGGAGATACAATTTAGTGCTCTGGTTTTAAGAGAGATAAATATTTATCCTTCGGAAATCAGATCACTTCAAGAGGCTTTGCTTCGGATCCCAGACAAAAGCTGTATCCAGAAGATACTAGTTTTGCGGAGAAGAAAAAACAAGCCTCTTTGGAAAAAAACATGTTTGCTTTGATCTTGCATACCTCAGTTCCAGATCTGTCTCACTTAGGGAATGGAGAAAGGGGAAGCCTGGCTTCCTTCTCAGACACCAGGTTTGGACACGAGACCATGCAGGCCAGGAGCTCTTTGACCTGCAGCTAATGCTGATGCAAGGCATCAGCTTCATGATGAACATTAATGTACCATCAAAATACCTGCTAGGGAGAGGCTGCAGAGGAATGGAAAGCTGTACCATTATTAAGCACTTCTCTGAAATGATGTGCAAACAAAATCTCTGCTTGCAGGGAAAGCAGAAGGTGCGAGGCTCTGTCAGCTTTCAACTGCAGTGAGGACGGGGCAGGGACAGAGCCTGTGCAAGCTTGTTGCGCACAAACGAAGCTGCAGCACAGCCTGCACGGGAAAAGTTAGTCCGTCCTCACTCCTGTTCCCTCAGCCAAGTGAGCACTGCTATTCGTGGCATTTAGTAGCCATTTCTTTTTTTCTAGCAAAAGGAGACTAACGAAATCAGCAGCAGGAGCAGAGACTGAGGCTCACGTCTAGGAAAAGAAAATACAGATTTCGCAGTTATAGTTCAAGCACCCATTGCCAAGAACTGATTCTGAGGCACAAAGCATCATGACCAGGCACGCTGAGGGCTGACACATTTTGTTTTCCATGCGGCTTAAAAC